TTTCCATGAACAAAAAGAGCCAGAAAATCATACCCTTTGGTGGAATTTACGCCCATTCTTCGCAAGAAATCATAGATAAAGAAATCATTTGTATTGGGATTTTGGGAAACAAAGGACATAAAGAACAGACTGAGAATCAAAATAGAATTAAAGAAACTGAAACCCATTTTTGGATAAGGTCTATAAGATAGAAAAACAAATTGAACATCTCCTCCCGGCTCCCAGTCTCTCACTTTGCCAGAGCTTCTATACCACCAATCTTGCAGCATAAATTCTTCTTCTGTGACTATTTTCTGGCTTCTGCAACACCCATTAGTCCATAACATAATAAAAAACGAAAACGAAAGGGTTCAATTGGGTCGCAAAATCTCCTATGGCTGCAAATCAGACAGCGAATTCATCTCAAAATCTGGTCTGAGTAAAAAATCGGCTCCCATTATCCAAGAAACGGTTTTTGGGGTTTTATTGTAAATTTGCGATTTAGGTCATCAAGGTTTGAGATTCAACTATTTTGGTCCATTAAGTTCCGATTAAAGTGAAAAGGTCCTTCAGTGACCATTAGTGAAACTGAACGTAACTTCAGTGACCGTTAGTGCAAGTTTAAATTTCAGCGACCGTTTTGTGATTTTGACGTAATTTCAGTAACCGTTTGTGAAATTAACCCATTAAAGAATTAAAATAATTTAATAAAAAATAAAAAGAAAAGAATTTGAAAAAAAAAATTTCTTCTTCGCCACCGGCCCACCACCCCACCCCATACCATAGAAGCCAAACCAACGTCCACCCATCCAACGGAGCAGGCCACCGCCATCCACCATTCCCAAATCAGTCGATGCTCGTCTTCCACCATACCTAAACCATCGAACCACAATCGTCACCAAAGTTACTGCAAACAATTCATATCATTGCCCACCCACCCACCCAAACCAAAACCCACAACCACTGCCACCGCACAACTCCACCATTTTCAAGAATTTCAGCAGTAAATCAGCAAATCACAACCGCCTACCATAGCCTCAAATGTCTTGTATAAATCGTGGTGGCTCCAGTCCAATTTGAGTATGGATTCCAGAAGTCCACCATTTTTGAATAGTTGGAATAATATCAAAGATTTTTTTTTCTTTCAACACATAATTGAGTGAATTATAAATGAATCAATGGAAAAATTATTAGGTAATCAATTTGAATAGTTGAAATAGGGATAGAGATTAACAAGAGGCCTATAAA